CCATATTTACCTGTATGTCAGGGTAGTACCAACTTCATGGAACAGCATCAGTAACACAACCGTATTTACTTTTATGTCAGGGTAGTACCAACTTAGTGGAACAGCATCAATAACACAGCCGTATTTACCTGTATGTCAGGGTAGTACCAACTTAGTGGAACAGCATCAGTAACACAAACATATTTACCTGTATGTCGGGGTAGTACCAACTTAGTGGAACAGCATCAATAACACAGCCGTATTTACCTGTATGTCAGGGTAGTACCAACTTCATGGAACAGCATCAGTAACACAACCATATTTACCTGTATGTCAGGGTATTACCAACTTTGTGGAACAGCATCAGTAACAGAACCGCATTTACCTGTATGTCAGGGTAGTACCAACTTCATGGAACAGCATCAGTAACACAAACGTATTTACCTGTATGTCAGGGTAGTACCAGTCCAGTATTACCAGATGGGGTTGTAGATTTGCACCCTGCGGCCTAGATAATAAACTCTTTCACCTACAATTGTATATCAGCATCTGTCGAGATGGCAGAGTGTCATGTACTGAAATTGTGTATTGTGCTCTCTCGTTATGGAGTTATGACCCTTGTTTACGGTGCATAACTTTGTCCAGACCATAACTCATGTTCTCTATTGTCTACAGTTGCAAAATTTTGTATGTGAATATATACCTTTTGGGAGGTTAGAGTATTACATACTAAACCAAGTCTTATGCCCTACTACACACAGAGTCAAATTCTTCATACCCAAGTTTGTCCACAGTTCAGGACTATGTATTGTTTGCAGTAAATTACCTTGTGTGAAACTTTTGACACAGCTTATTTAACCATCATGAGGGAGGAATAGAATTGGGAGGCAATGGGCAATTAACATCATGGTCTAACAACAGGAAAATAGGTATTTTCGCGACTTGAAATCTTCTTCAGGGATTTACTAATCAGAGCTTTTTATATATTGTCTTCAACAAGTTATGTAAAACTAAATTAGAAACTTAACAATGGTAGACCTGTAGTTTTGAAATATCAGTCAATATTAAATATATGCCTATTTGATGTTTCTCAGAGAGACATCACAATGTTAACTGATCTGGAACAATTTTAGAGACAGCTCTAGGTGTTGAAAAAGTTTTGGTATTGCGTAACCCTACAGTTACATGATCAGGACTTTGTGTATGAGATGTTGGGAATGTTCTATATGAAGGGGAAGTAAAGATCTGTACATGTAACTTGTGATTAGAATGTTCCGTGTGACCATTGATCCAGCCAGACAGAACTTGGGGCATAGCCATTCGGCCTTGTTTGCATTAGCTTTCTCAAGGTGCAACTAGAATCTGTCAATGTCATCAGGCCAATCTCATATACAGACTAGATGTACATGTAAAACACAAGCTGCAGATAACTGTATATCAACAGGAAAAAAACTGTTCTCTGTAAGAAAAATAAAAAATTGTATGCCGTGTGCTGTTTCTTTACATGTAAATGTAGTTCTGAGCAAGGAATCGTTGCAAGTTTGGAACTATTTGCTGTAGCTCTGACAATGGGCTCATATTGAGTGATTGCATGAAGACTATTTTCTGTAGTTCTTTGTACTATAATGATTTGTTGAATAGATTGGGAATGTTTGTTGTAGTTTTATGCAAGGACTCATGTGAGTGGTTGGGGACTATTTTTTGTATGACTGGGTAAGGGTACATGAAATGGTTGGAGGCTTTTTGTAGTAGATCTGTGTAAGGATATATATAGTTGGTTGGTGGCTGTTGTAGTACTGTAATTCTGTGTAAGGTCGCGTTGAGTGATTGGGATTATTGTAGGTCTGAGTAAGGATACATTGAGTGGTTTGGACTATTTTTTGTAGTTGTGTGTAAGGATATTGATTGAGTAGTTTGAACTACTTGTTGTAGTTGTGTTAAAGGGTACTTTGAGTAGTTTGGTACTATTTGCTGCAGTACGTATTTTATAAGGATACTTTAAGTGGAGGGTGACTATTTGCTGTAGTTCTGTGTAAGGATACATTGAGTGATGGGGACTATTTTCTGTAGTTTTATGGACGGATACATTGAGTGATTGGGA